TCCCAAAAGAAACGTCAATCATCGTCAATCCAATTCTATAGCAGTTATATGCAGTTATATATAATGTTCATCAGTTTCTATCTTTGAAGTGTTTGGATGGTCGTGATCGTAGGTACGGAATCGAGGGCGTAGTCTAGCAGGTGGTTGGTCCCACCAACGACCCAACATTGGATACAGTAAACCTTACCCAGCCTTACTCTCAAGGAGTTCCTTTGGTTGGGTCCATGTATTTATGCCATACCCACTCACATCCTCCAGCAGCTCAACGAATCAGCCTCCGAGCCAGGCGGTCTTCCAGCCCAAATGCCTTGGAGCCTGGCACTTACATAGGCGCGGTGACTTGGCGCCGCCGTGCCCGTGGACCGATGTAGGAGGTTTCTAGATGTGAAGAGAGTCTTGGTTGGGGATGTTGGGGTGGGTGGGCCAGTTGGGATGGGAAGTCCGATGAGAAACCCAGGAAGCCGCAGGCCAAGTTGGGAGGGAGGGTCGTACTGGTATACTTGAGGTCGGGACATTTGATGTTTGATTGGGTCAGAATGTCGGGGTGGTTGGTGATGCCTATGACCCAAGAAGAGAGTCAAAGATGCGCTCTTGAACGGAGGGCTTTGATGTTGGGTGATGAAATAAGGTCCATATTTTAACAGAGGTTTTGGCCGCCATTCTATTTTGGCCTCAACTCAATAACTTCCCAGTCTATCCACCTTAACTTATCACTTGCAGGATTTCAAAAAGCGTCCACTTTGGCTATAAGTACTTGGTAGATCTTGGTAGATCTTGGGAGCTTGTTGCTTGCACTCATTTGTGCAGAAACTGCGTGTTGGCCGCCGTTGGCCCTGATGCCTTCTGCCTTCTCCCTGCCGCGCATGGCCAGGCATACCTTGGAAGATGACCTTGAGGTCCCACCGTGGAAGATAGGGCGATCGAAGCCGAAGCGTTGCCGTCCAGCTGAAGCGTTCACGCACGTTCAGCGATGGCCACGAGGTATACCAGATCCTCGGAGACTCGTAGAGAGTGCTGAATGAAGGGTAGAGTTTGGTAGAGGATTTTGGTGGATGTGGAGGGGCATCAACCAATAGGGCCTAAATAGGAGAAAACAAATGCATACTATAAGCTAGAATACGTTGGCCCTTCCACATCGCAAACCCCTCGCCCTCTCGAGGCGATGTGGTTCTTCTCCTCCCTCTCCGGTGGGATCGGTACTGAAGGGTTTGGGGCGCCCAGCGATGTGCTAAGCGGCCAAGCGTGGAGGTGGCAGCACGGTTGGGGTGTGTGTCTTTAGCTTCTTCGTGTGGAACGGGGGCTAACATGGTGCAGTGAATGTGGCAAATGGTTGAAACACGAACAGCTGACCTTCGCAAAGGTATGACTTCCATGCTGCAGGGCAGGCCTTCTGAGAAGGTTTTATGAAAAACCTCAAGAGTGCGAAGTGGTTCTCAAAGCAGATCATAGGTTAGTGGGAGGCATACGCCATCATGCGCCCCTACATGGGCGTTCTATCATCTACCAATTTATTTGAGGCAGATAGGCCGTGTGACCACCGAATCTTATCTGTGAGCAATTATATAACGTCTATACGCCCCAACTCCAAAAAAACTTCTGACATGCAGGGCAGACGTGTCAATCGCCAACATGCCCTGGAATTGTTTGGGCATGCTTTGCGGCCACAGACAGCATATGCAAGGTGGCCGAAGACTGACACATGGACACTCAACAGATCCAACCCGGTGTAAAAAGGTTGCTCGCCAAAGCGGCTGGGAAAACTGCTTACAGATGGTCCGAGTCACGTGAAGTGAGAGAACCAGACTGATATGATATTCACTCCCATCACCAGAGCCATGAACAGACATCGATCCACCTTTGGTCCAGTCATCGAGCACGACCGGCTCAGGCTCTACAACTATGCAGCCGCCAACACGTGCCTATCTCATTAGGGGAGGTTTCCTTGGAGACGGATTGAACATTTTTGAGTCGTCGGGTGATGAATGTGTGCATGTAGCGTTCTTGTATGTTCTTTTGGTGAAGATAGAAGCTGGATCGCAGTCAGCTCTACTCTTCATAGTGACCATACCAGTGGACTTGATTTCTCTGAACAACCGATGCCCACTTGACCGAAGCGCAGCGCACGACCCCACGGCGCAGTAGACCCAAGGTACTTGGACGAGCTGGCGCACGTGCGGCGCTCGGCGGGGCTGCCGGCGACATCGATCCAATTCCCCGAGGCGACCGGGGGCGTCGGGGGAGAACGCATGGAGTCAGATGCGTTGGGCAGTGAGACCCTGCAGAGTGGATGGCTGTTCACCCATGTGTGAAGACCCTGAAGGTGACCCTTCTTCATCCCAAAATTCCCATGTGATTATGTGTTCTTTCAAGGACACATCAACTAATAAGTCAGTATATGGATGATTGCGGGCTAAAATGTACGCTCTCCAACTACAGAGCTCCAGAGAACTTGTTCGACTACGCAGAGCCTTGTCGCAGGTGGAAGAGGCTGGCATGGACGCAGCCTACTTGGGTGGCGGAGGTGGCCAGCACAAACGATATTGCTGCTCAGGTCGTAGGTTTGTGCCCTTTTGTGCCCGATATATTGGTGAAAACTGGGACCAAAGCATGAGATGAAACGAAAAACAAAAAGAAAAAGCATGCTTGCGACCTGAAAGCTGCTTGTGCTTGCGAGCGAGGGTTTGAGAGACTGAGAAGGCTTGGAACATCTTGGAACCTTGGATCGACATGTTCAACGATGTTCAAGCCGTTGATTTGATGGGTTTGTCAATGTTTGTCATGTTTATCAACATCCCATCAAAAATCATTAAACTAGCGCCCGAAGCGTACGTGCTGCAGGTGGTTCTGCCACAGTCAGTTTGTCAGTCGTCAAGTTGGCTGGGGGCCCCAAGCTTTGCAACACGACAACCTACAGTTGAGAAGGATTCAATGGCCTCACTCCCTGCAAGACAGAACCATAAACCACCGAAACCACCCTCTCGTGCTCCACGAAACCACGCTCCACGAAAGCCGAGGCCTTGCGGCAGCTCCTCTTGGGCGATGGGCCCAGAGCCTCCCCCGTGGTGGCCCGGGGCTCAGCCGGGTGGGTCGGTGGATGAGATCATGGACGCTTACGCATGGTGTAGGTGAAGTGTAAAGGACCTTGTTTGCAGAAAGAGAAGCCACACATCATAGCCACACATTTCTTTGCCAAAAGATCAATTTCCATAGGGACTTTGGGTGCTTGAACATGCTTGAACATGCTATGCTATGTGGCCTAAAGGGTCTTGACTTCCATGACAACAAGAAACTGGCGCTTGCCACATGTATATATGGCCCCGTTACCTCAAGTCTCAGTTGACCAAAGATGAATCCGAAACTTCTTTTCGTGAGCATGATGCAGTCCATGATGGTCTTTCCAGGACATGTTGGAACTTATGTTCTTCAACTTTTGTCCACCAGTTCTCCATCAAGTCATATATCAACATGTCAAGCTTTAGTGTGCGAGGCTAGAAAGGAAGGGCACTCCAACCTGAAAGCACCAGGCCTTGCTACCGCCGGGCTACCTCATCGCACGCTCGGTCTATCATTGGCCCGGGGCCTGGTGGGTAGGGTTTAGTCATGGTCAGCGCATCCGGCACCGCTGTCCAAGGCATCACGAGTGGGACAAAGTAGATGGCCACGGGGATGTTGGTGCAAAAAGTAGGGGCCGCGGCCGCCGGAGAGGCGGCCAGACGAGGCGGCCCGAGGTGCCCTAGGTTCTTTCAACATCTTTCAACCAAACATGGCAATCCGTCAGTGGGCATGAAAGCCCTAGGGCTCCAAGTACCTCCTCAGAAGGTATTTGGACCCAAACACCTTCATAGGAGGTGCCTGGAGCCCTATAGGGAAGATGAATGCTTTCCCTCTACCAGGCCTACTATGCCACTTGTGACAGGGACACACCTCTCCACGCCCTAAAGACAAGCGACGCTCCCAAAGACATCGCTCGACTCGAGCGACTTGAGATTCGCGTTGGGAGGTTGGCCTTGGAGCCCTTGGAGAAGCGCAGGAACAAGGAGAAATCTGCGACGACGTTTGCTGATCTTATGAGAACTGGGAGGTGCTTGTCCAAGACCCAAGAGAATCTATAGTGGGCACTTGTTCAAAAGAGTTCACATGAACTGAAGAATGATGAACACGTTTAGTGCAGGACATCTCCTCCACTACAGGTCACACCTGTACAAGAGGAATTGCTGGCCCACCCTCACAAGTTCTTGTTGAAGCTTTCTTAGGAAGATTAGGACATGTTAGGATCCCTGCAGTTTTCCGTCGAAGGACCATGAACACGAGTCATTCCATCTCACACTGCGAGTACATAAATCCATCACAATCCGTATAAACCGGACAATTCTGCAGTTGGTCCACCACCAACCCGACCGACCTCAGCATCCAACAAAGTTAGTGAGCATGAGCGAGCGAGGCTTGGGGGGGTTTGTAATTTTGAAGTGGGGGTCCTCCCAACCATTGGATTTGGTGTGTTTTTTTATTCTCCCAGAGGTCTTTGGGGAGTCTCCAACGTCTAATACACACCCACCTCCAGTCCTTTGGCCTGAAGATGAATGCAAGGAGTTGTGGGATTTGTTGGCACAAACCGAGAAGGAGAACAAGGAGGATCGCGCGAGAACCGCTTCGCCGTGTTTCACCACTAATACGTCCTTGGCACGGAATGTAGCACAAGGAAGAACTGAAAAGATCCTAACCAGCTGAAGTGAAGGAATCAAGTTGTAAGGAGCTGATGGTTTTATGCAGTTCGACGGAGTATGAGTTTGCAAGGTATGTGGACAGTGTCCAAATATGGTTTGAGGGTTTAAGTATATGCAATCATGTTATAAGTTATACTGTATACTGTATAAGTATAGACCTCAGCTTATGGATGTCAGTTGGAGTGAGCTTGCAGCCTGAACCCGCAGCCATTCTGGCTAAGCCAGAGGGGCCAGGTTGGGTGAGCTGTAAGCATCACTCGGCCTCTTGAGGCTCTTATGGAGCAACCGCTCTATAATGAGTATGCTGCACAGCTGGCATATACTGAGGACAGGCAGCTGACTGCGCAGTATGAGACGGAGGCGGGCCCAGGGGGATCATCACTGTTGCACAATCCGCTCCTGGCAAAGAAATCTTCTCTTCAGAGCCCAACACTTGCAGAGAGCCAGGGTCTTCCAGGAGCTGGGCATTGTTTCATGATTTGGAGGAAGTGATAGGTTCTGGATGGTGAAACATGATGAAACACAAAATCGTGGAGGGGCACAATAGAGGTCGAGTCTCCTTCAAATCCCTCCAGTCGATTGACTTAATTAAACTATATTAAACTACTTCACGAATGACTTCGTGGCTCCACAGCCAGGGTGTAGAGATTGGGCTTCTACGAAGTTAGGATCATGGTAGGGTCGTTATTTGTATTGGGAAGATGACCTGTCGTTCATCTTGACCCGACCCCCCAGGGCCAGGTCGACCATGTATTCCAGAAGTCATTGGTTTGTCTTTTGCACAATTCACATCTGTTTCTCAGGTTTCTTTGCTGCTAACACGCTAACACTGAACGGTATTGAGCACAAACACCGCAAGCGCCTTGTGCCGTGGAGGTGCATTTCCAGAAATGCTACGGGGTCATGGATGAGCTCTATGAAGCTCACGACTATCTCAGGCGGGCGCTGAAGACCCCATGGGGTAGCACAGAGAAACAGAGTTCGACAGAGCTTGTGCGCCCAATGACCAGTGCACTTCTAGCATCTTCTAACTGGGTTTCAGGGGATTGCGCGTTTCGACTTGCACTCTACCGACTCTACCGAAAGTGTTTGGCCGTGTCCAATACTTGTATCTGCTTGTGGGTCTTTGGTGCTTGGATGTGATCGGTCATCCCTCAGCCAGACACTCACATGGTCATCCCAGCCAACCGATTGCTTCGTAGAGGGCCTTCATCAGATCGATTAGACCTGGCACCGGAGCACAGCCCCGAGTTGTTGGAGGCCATTCGTTAGTCGGTTGGAGGCCATTACTACCAGTAGCCTAGAAGCTATAAGAAGCTACTAGGTTGGAGGCCATCGCTACTAGTAACCGCTACTAGTAGATCGCCCACACCATACACCCGTCGACTTCCACCATCCGATCCATCCCGTCGCCTCACGAACTCGCGTCATGCCAGAACCGACCACTTGCTACCTCACCTGACAAACTCGCTCATCAAAAGAAAACCCAACAGCATTTGACTTTTGGACTTGGAGACCGCCAGCTAGCCTCAAAAAAGAACTGCGAAAAACAACAACACCCCCAACAAAATCCTTTGAACCGTTGAAACGCACTCACTTCAGACTCCGGCCTCATGCCACGGTCAGGAGCCTGGTGCCGGGCTTCAAGTTTTTGGACCTGGGCTGTGCGCCAGGCGGCTTTAGCTCCTATCTCTTGGAAGATCCCAGGCGGATCCGACCGGTTGAGCGGCGCTCGGTCGGTGGAGGGCGATGCGATCCGGGCGAATCCGGGGCACCACCTGAGATCGAAGGAACCAGGGACAGACCTGAAAAAGACAACAAAATTCAAAAGACACGAATCACCACGAATCCTTTTCCAAAGCAATCAATTGGATTTCATGGATTCCATGCGCACCGGCATGGCATGCGCTATGCTGCGCTGGCACTCGAGGTGTGCCATGGGCTTCGGGGTTACTTTGCCCTCCACGCTGGGAGGCTTTCCAATGCGTAGCGCGGCTGCAGGAGAGTAGTGGGGCCAAACGGGGTGCTTGTGACGAAATAGAGTTCACAAAAGACATGTGACATCAAGCAGATCTGCTGGCTGCTCCATTTGTTTGGTCATGTTTTGTGCCATGTGGTTTCTTCCATCCACTGGGTCTAAAGGCAGCACCCGAACCACCCGAACCACCCACCGGCCGCTACACAGAAACTACTGGGTCTGGTCCTTAGGACCCATGGCGAAGGTTGAAAGAGGTCCGGAACAGCCAAGGGTAGGGTTCTTTATTGGTTGAAGGGTTCTTCACGGTCCACAAACACGTGAAGAACCCTTCAACCACAACGGAAAGAACCACCACGTCCGACCACACCCGAGGCTTGCGCTCTTCCAACTTCCTTTTGCAGCAGGGAGACCTCTTTGAGCTGGGCCCAGGCGATCTCATTTGCAAGGAGGTGCATATTTGTATTTGCGATGCTCAGCTTCCTGACTGGAAGGAGAAGAACTTATGTTTGGTCGGTGGTTCTTTGGTCGGTTGGTTGGATGCTGTCGTGATGTGTTTTGTGTCTGTGGGTTTGCCAGTTAGAATAGAAGAGGCTCACTGGGGGGAGTTGCCCGACACTGGGAGAGAAATAGTTTCTTAAACTGGGACATTGCAGCATCATTGAGCTCCTTTCAGTGAACTATGGTGGCCCCCAACCCCCACGAGGGGAAGAAAACTGTTTCTATGTGCAATTTACTCTTGCCAACCTTCTATTGAATCTATGGGGATTCTGTCATAGTTTATGTCATGTTTGTTTATTTTTTTTTGCGTTGTTCCTTCTGAGTGATGTTGTTGGTCTATCAATAGAACATGGCCAAAGGGACTGGCAGGATGAGTCCATAGACAAGTCCTTGTCCTTTTGGATAGAAACCACTGGCCACTTGGCTTTCTTCACCTTACTCCGAACAACTGAGGTACATGCGAAACGAGGTGGCCTGGGATGAGAAGTACACCGGGGTCCGGTGCCGTTCGAAGCAACATGGCGTTTGGGCCTTGCTGATGAAGCAGTTCTGGTTGGGCCTCACGAGGCTCTTGCCCGGCACCTTGGCGGAACTTGGGCTCGGCGGACAGCCAGACGCGTGGTGCTGTTGGTGCGTGTTCAGGATATTAGGTAGTGCCTTACTAGTAGTAACAAGAAGCTATTAGTTAATTTAATTCTAATAGCTTCTTGTTACTACTAGTAAGGCACTTGTTTCTAATAGCGTGGCACTTGTTCCAGTAGCGTGACACTTGTTACCCCTCCCAATCTCCTCCAAGTTGAAGGAGACAGCAAACTTGAGGATGAGGCCTTGCACGGCTTTGCATGTCTTGTGACCGCTTTTATAGATTTTCCCAGGATGGGGCCATTGTTCTCCACCCCTCCAACCTCTGATACAAAAAGGTCATATAGCTGAACATCCCTATATATCCCTATGAATCTACAGATCATGTGCAGGTTGCATAGCCTGCGCCTAGAAGACGCTGTCTGTTTGCAAGGCGGCCTGCTGATCTTCCGCTTCGGATGGCGTGATGGGCCACCCGAAGATCTGGCGACAGCACCTTGGTGTCATCGATGTCATGTGATGTCATGTGGATCAATGCCAGTCAGAAGGTGATAGAAAATCAAGAATCTGCTTTCTTGAGTAATTAGAGTGATCTTTTTCCTGGAGGTTTTGGTGCACAACGCAGTCACCGATTCGTCGTCCCTTTAAAACGTCCAATTTGTACGGAGACCTGTGCCAGTGGTCCCAGCCAGTCAGTATACACCAGTGCCAGTCCACTCAGTTGAAGGTGACTATCCTCGCACCGGCACCGAGCGCGGGCACGAGCGCCTGTCTTTGCCCCGAGGTGTGGTACAAGAAGTGCACCTTGAGACTTTTCGCCTTGTTAAAGGATCTCTTCGCGCAAGTCAAGGAGGTGGATGACGGGGGCACGATGTGGTGTGGGCGCGTCCTTTTGTCTTGCCCATGTGCGTATTCATGGTGGCAATGGTTTAGGACTTTGGGGTTGACGGTGCTTTTCCAATCTCAAACGGTTTGGCTCGGGACGGGAGTCCGGTGCTGACGGTTTAATTCGATCTGCCTTAGCTGGGTTTGGTGGTCTCCAAATTCATGGCGTTCGCTTGAGGAAGAAGTTTGGTATGTCGTTATGTTTGTTTTTTAAGAGAGAGACTGCCTCTACTGCCCCAAAGCAAGGAGCAAAAGAGTCTTTTCACTCCCCACGGGTTTGGGGTTTTGTTTTTTTGAACTACCTGGCAGACGGAACTCGTGGCGAAGAATCCCAGAACTCCTGGCAAAGACCCTACCACAAGGGATGAGTTTTGCTGTTTGAGTTTATGCATGCCTGGAGCTTTTGTTTGGGGTATCCAATCTGAGCAGTGCAGCGCTGTCCAATGGAGAGCAAACAACTCGTTAGGGTATCATTGATCCTTTGTGGAGATTTGCATTGCCGTAGAAACGGTGTTTGCAGCCGATGCAATATGCTCCTTGACAGTTCAATTGCTGATGTTAGATCGGGAGAGAGAGAGATAGAGAGAGATAGGGCATGTTCATACTTGGTTCCAAAGGCTCAAGTGGCGGCCATCAGGTCTAGGTGGTCATTGATTCCATTGTTTGATGCAAAAATCAGGTTCCAAGGTCCTGATCCTGGCAGTCAGGTGAAGTCCGATCATTTCAACTCGCTTCATAGCTCCTTCTACGTGTGCTGCTTCGGCTTCAACCGGACACCTGGTGCGCAGGTGGAGAAGGGAATCGTGTGATCGACTTGGGCGTTCACATGACTCATGGTCCGGAGAAGGCACCCCCTTTGGAGAAGACACCAGAGCCGGGGATGACCACACGTGAAGTTCCTTTTGCTGGTCTCTTCCAGGTGGTTCAACACTCCACTCCAAATATGATAGAGTTTGTTTGCGTGGTGCAGGGAGAATTACTCCCCATGTTGAATATGGCTGAAACGACCGACATGCGAACTGTGAGAGTCAGGACCCGAAACAAAAGAATGCAGATGACCCGGCATGTCAGTATATTAACTGACTCGTGGCACCTCCAGGAATTGAAACAAACGTGACCCGAGTGAGCGATCCAAGTCTTTACCATGAGCTCCGCACAGCACGTCCCGTCACGCCGGGAATTCCCGGTGACCCTGTCCTTTCGCCCCTGTCGTCGCGCTGTTTGACCAACGGCCGTTTCCGCGATGGAACGGCCGTGCCAAACGCCGTCCACCGTCGCCTCACCGCTTCGTGAGCGGTGGCAGCGTGGATCGGACGGACCTCGGTCGAAACGTGCTCAGGAAGCGCTTCGAGGACCGAGGGGTGGCGAAGCTTTTGGGCCACACCTTCAATTACTTGGTCACCACACGGATCAGCGACGCCAACCAGTGACTCGGAAAGAAGAGGGTGGAAAGAATGGGCGCGTGAGCGCGTGAGCCGGCCAAGACGGAGGAGGAGGTGTGGCAGCCGATGCGTTTGGGGTGTGGCAGTCGATTCATAGGAGTTGATGGTGGGTCCCAGTGAGTTTGGTGGTGGCGGAAAGGGGGTCAGGGTGATTGTGTTTAGATCGGTGCAGATCAATGGACCACCGGATTGGTGGGTGGCAGCAGTAAATCGGCATGTTGTTTCAGAGGTTTGGGCTTCAATTAACAAATCACCGCATTGCAGTATTTTGGGAGTGTTGCAGGAACATCCTAATTCACCGGCAACAGTAACCTGGTGTTGACCAGTCTCATTCCCTTCTCAACTAAACCAACAACAGGCCATGTCCACTTCACCCGCGTGCACGAGGCTGGAGATCTTACCCCAGGTGGACAGTATCCGCAGCACGGCGTTGGACGAGCACTTCAGCCACTCGAGCGCGTTGGGCGTTTGCGTTTCCCGCGCGTTTCCGCGCGCACATGCGCGGAGGATGTTGGTTGTAGGCCTGGTAGGAAGTTGATCCTGGTTGGAAGGCACAAGCGATCTGTACACAGATCACTCGTGATAGCATGTGATAACCTTACCATCAGCATTGCTTTCCTGAACAAGTTGGTGCAGGTTGTAGAGCTCTTTCTTGAGTTTGAAAGTGTGATCCATTGTGATCCCTAGCAAATCTGTAATATTCCGTGATATGTATATGTTGCCACCCATCAGAGCTGAGGCAAGATGCTCGATCGGATGGAAAAGCTTCGGGTGGTGCACGAGCAAAGTCAGAGCCCGATTGCTGGCCGGAGGAAAAAGTGAGCTGATAGGAGGGTTAAATGACTAGGGGATGACTCAACTTTACTGGTACAACGGGCAACATCCAGACAAGGATAATAGTCAACACCTTCACCTGCACGTGGATGAAATCAACATATAAATATCTTAGATCGAGCATGTTTACAAATCGGGTTTCTTGAGATTTGTTTGAGAGCCGCTTGGCTGGAAGGCCAGTTTAGACCAAAGGTAGAAGCCTGTTGACACTGTGCATTAAGTAAAGCATTCTCATCGTGAAAGTGGCGAATTTGCTGCTCCAGTTGGGCTTGGACATGCTTGGACTGCCCGACAGAGCCTTGAACAGATTTCCTTCCTTAGGGACGGAGCATGACAACTTGGCAGTCACTCTGAACATTGCAGGAGTCTTTTTCCCACAAAATTCCAGCACTTGCAGCTGTGATCTTCACATGAGGGCTTCGAGCACCTGGAGCTTACTGACTCCAAGAGATCTTTTTGAGCCATGCTCCATCTTGTACTATACTATTAGACAACATCACCACCGCCCAGTATATCCCAGTCTACTTCATTGGCCGTCAGCCCGGTTCGACGGTTGCCAGGAAATCCGAGAGTTGCGGAAAGAGCTCAAGACTCGTCGGGCTGAAGCGGCCACCAGGCACGACGGAGCAGTGGGGCAGTGCGGTCGGTGGACCTGCTTGCGAAACATATGTAAAAGTTGGGTCTTGCGGTGGCCACAGCAGGGTCTGGAGCTTCGAGAATTGCATGGAAATGAAGGACTCCGAATCAGGAACAATTAGAGGAACTTCTCATGTGCCATTTGACGCACCTATTTGTACAATGGCCCTGAGGCTGGAAGTGATGTTGGCAGATTGAAACATCGAAGTTGTTGAATGGTTTGCATTGGCTTCAAAAAGCAGTCTCGGCTGAAGAACTGAAGATCGTTGTTCAGCTGAATCGCTTTTGGTCACAGATAGATTCGCCTCCTTTTTCGGGCATCTTCACCCCATATCTTCACCCCATAGCTTGCACCATGGACCGAGGTGAACGAAAATGAACGCTGCTCCGTGTGAGTGGATATCGCTTGAAAAGTCAGGCAGCAGGATGATTTGAATGCTTGGTATCCACATACCTCAACCACATTGCAACCATGCAAGTTGTTTAATCTGAGATTTGCAAGTTGCTTGTCTATATTCTATATCAAGGTTTCTCCCTCGAGCGATAAACTTTGTTGAACAAGGAAGAACGTGATTTTATAACCCCTGAAATTCTGAAGGCCAGAATCCCTGTGCTATACTGTAACCTTTCGGTAAAGGAATTGTTCAATTGTTGGTTCCAGCGTTTGATGCCCTCAGAGATGGCATTGTTGTGATGTAGTGAACGCCATTATAATAAGGGAGGAACGCAAACTTCAAGACATACGCTTAACATGAACTCTCATTGTGATAATGGTCTTGGACATGGGAGTTCAGCAGTACTTTGCAGTATTGTGTGACATGGAGGGATCCTGACTTTGCTGTTGACTTCTTGAGGACAGACTGAGGCCGATGCTTTTTGACACGAGGAAACCATGGCTGACACGATTTCCATGCATCAGCACCATTTTATTCAGGAAATCAATAGATATCTCAATTGTTCTCATGGAAGTCCGTCAGAAAAGAATTGCTGCAGTATGATTGGTTCATGTCGCAAGTAATGCATTTTATCGCATCTATCGATCTCAGCGTGCATGATAAGGCTCAAAGTTCATCCTTACTATATAAAGAAGCAGTGCAGTGTTTCTCTATATAGCAATGTTTGCCCGGTCTTCTATTGTTTCAACAAGCTCGCCCACTTTAGCATTGTCCGTGGATGTCAAGCTAAACTGGTTCCAACATACACCAAAGCATGCATGGTGCAGACATTTTATACATTGGTTGCATTCAATTCAGTTTCGGTATGGAAGCGGCAGCCCCTTCAGTGCTTCGTCGCGGCGAAACTTCGGCTGCACAGAAGCATTCAAGTCAAGCCTACACGTGGTCCTTGAGATGAGGTTATGTGTTTTGTCCTGCCATGTTTTTCGTGGTTCTTTTTGTCATCGTTATCTTCACACTACAGCTGCTGAGTATTCTTGATTTAGACATGCGTGCGGCATTTTGACCAGTTTTTGCTTTCACATTGATTCAAACTTAAAGAAAATCACTGACTTTTGCAACAATAAAGTGTAGAAGAAAGACAAGCTCGACGAGATCGCTCGGCCGAGAATGAGCATCCGATGGCTGCAAAAGCTTTCATCCCAGGAGATGGAACAAGCATGCAGAAAACATGGAGATGGGCCCTGTCATGAGGGAGCGAGGGACCAAATCATTAGTTCCAACTCAAAGACCAAACCTTTATGGTTGAGGGAGTTGATTGGCATTGACCTTCTTCATTTTCTTGGTAGCAGGTGAGAGGAAACGTAGACTTGGGAAAATAGTTTGAAGACGTTCAAAGACTTGGGCCATGGTGGATGGCTAGCCTTTGCGAGGCTTGTAGATCCGAAAGTGGTTTCTGCATTCTTCTTTCATTTCGGTATTGAGTGTTCACTTAAAGACTTGTGTGTGTGCTTGTTTTTCCCTTGACAGCTCCCTTCACAGCCTGGATGTAACTGTTAATGGTTGTGTATTCCGTATTGTTTGTTGCAGTTGTGTTGCAAAAACAAATTGATTTTACATGACATGGGTGCGGCAGGATTTGGCAGTGGTACACGTTGAAAGACGCCACGGTCGGCCGCTTTACACCTTGCTTTCCCAGCTCTCAGGTGCAGGGTCGCACGGTCGGCCCATTCGGTCTAGTGGAATGATCCCAGGTTTAGTTTACGTCTTAAGAAGGGCCAAAGCGGGACAGGGGCTTTGACAGAGTTCCAATGGATCATGAAGCACTCAGACAGAACATATCCAAGATTTACTCGTGAGACTTGTGATTCTCTAGTGACTTGTGAGACTGCTGCAGCAGGGCAAGTGACATGCTTGGAATCACCATCTTTCAGGCCACCTCGCAGACCTTTTGTGAAATCCACCAGAACTTGGTTGGCTGGGGCAACCTTTTTTACATCTTACTTGGACAGCTTATCAGCTATCTGCGATCCCAGGACTTCTCCCAGGTTAATTGAATGTTTATGACTCACAAAGTCTGAGATTCTGGCCATGGTCTCTTTCGCTTTCGGCTCCGATCGGTCCATAATAATGTGTTCAACGCGCCAAGCGTGTGCCTCAACGCAATGGCCAACGTGGATGCCCAAGATGAAGAAGCGGAAGAAGTGCCATGCCTTTTGCTGAACTGTTCTCGAACCATGATGGTCCGAGTCCAAATCCACCAAATCTTGAGTGTCGATCTTCATGAGGAGACATGTTCACTGCGCGGCAGTCGTTGTTGGGTTGGTGCCAGGTGGGTTTCTGCCTCCAACACAAGAAGATCTCATGCAAGTTATTACAAGCGGGATAAACACCAAACAATTGTGGACAGTTTTTTTTTTTTTTTTCGACCTACCTCTTTTTCTTGACACTGCCTGTTCAAGGTCGCTCTTTGTTGTCGAAGTCGCGCGTGTTGTCAAAAGTAGAGAAAGCACAGATACGGACGTGCGTCTTCAAAGAGTAGAAAAGAGTGAGGAATCAACAACATATGGAAAGCACCGATACGAACGTGGAATGCTTTGTTTCGGAGTTTGCTTCCCTCAAAAAATGCTCTTCCTGTGACCACCCAGATTCCGTCGTCTCAAAGACTTGACAAGAACCTCGTGAGTTGCTTCAAGCATCCGTCCCTGTTGGTATTTTGGAAATGCCCAAGTGGAAAAGGTTCAAAAGGTTCGGTACACAAAGCCAACCCTGGAGATGATAGTAAAAAGCCATGGGTCAAACGGATGGCACAATCCATTGGTACTCTCCGGCCTTTAAATTCGTACGCAGTGCGATGCGTGCACTGCATAGCCGATTTGGACGGCCCTCGACGTTGGGGACGCAACATGTTTTTCAAGACGGGATGTAGTGTTGAGCGCGAGAAAGCGGGTGTGTGTTGGTTCAAACAAGGGTTGATAGACCATCCTGTTTCCTGGCATCTACTTGATCATGTTTGGATCATTTTGGATCCTTTGTTGCTGCTGTCACGATTCTACGCGTGTTCTATTGCCGAATAGATCTTGTGTGCTCTCTCTCTCTCTCTCTCTTGTGTACTCTTTGCCTTGTCAGTCTGTCCTAGTTTCTATGATGGTCAAAGGGTTCACAATCACGTGACGTCTCAAGCTTAAAGCCATGCATCACCATCATGCTTCCTACCTCCACTGCTTTTTTTTGGCAGGAGACCTTCACGTTGGAGTTTGATGCCTTTTTCAGGTGGCAAGACCCGCGGCTCAGGAAGCCAGAACGTGCCAGGGTTCATTGAACAAAAGCAACGCAACTCATAAACATTTTTGGAAACGAACTTGCAGAATACGGTTGTGAAGAGTGTTGCCCTCCTTCACCTCACATGATTGTGAAGGAACTTTGCATCACAGGTAGCAATGATCAATTATGGCCGGAGTTGCACCTTGCAGGAACTGGCAGACTCGACTTTGGTTGCCTGAAAGCAGCACATTGAAAGGCCAAAAGACCTGCAAAAGCCATGGTCGTTGCCTTTGCAAGCGAGGCAGAGGTGTTTGCAGTGGTTTGCCCTTCGTGGAAGGAATCTTTAGGGAGGCCAAGGACAGCTACATCAAAGTCGATGGCTGTGAGTCCTGGCCACAAGGAACGCCATCAATCGCGTCGATGGTTTGAAGACCAGTGCGAACTGGTAGATGAAGTTGTTAGAAGTGTTGTTGTTTTCAGTTGATGGGATTTGCGCAACCACAGTATAGAGCCTTCGTTCCTGTAAGGATCGAGATTTGACCATCGAGATTGTCCATGGGACATATTATGGGTCTGAGATGAGCGGAAATCGGACAACCAACCGACAACGCGGGTTCCCAAGTCTTTGGACCTATTTGTCGGTTCTTGGATCAACCAATCTGAGGGTGGGGACTAACGACCGGCTGAAGAGAAAGGATGAATGAAAAGATGGGTTACAGTGTGTGCTGTATCTCTTGATGCAGCGTAGGTTTGATGATCCGCTACTGTAGTTTTGTTCGGTTTGAACTTGCCGTTCTGGGCCAGATATATTTTTGGGGTGGATTCCCACCAATCAGATTTTCACATTTCCCCTATTCACATCCATGCTAGCAAGCTGGTCATGAAATTACTGTAACTATTTCAGTCATCACATCTGAGGATGAAGAAATGGTGGACGCGTACATTGCGAAAGAAGAGCCGCTGGGTATCGCTGGGTTGTGTATGAGCTGAACACTGGCATCCATGGGATACTGGTGTTTTACGATGGTCAAAACATGTCAAAACTAACCCCCTCAAACTGGATGTACATGCAGACCGGGAATTTGCCTTATTCATGCCCTTGGCATGTGAACCATGAAGTTTGTTGGGATCCATCGTGGTGGAGGTGAGCGCATCTGAGCCAGGCAAATGACCCTCTATCTCCTGCTTGGCAGGGATTTGTTCGCAATCATTCATGTTGACATGGCTTTACAAAGACCAGATGGCCCCAGATATTATTGTGTTTGCCAGTTGTGTTTGCAACAATACTTGTTTGTTATAAGGTCTTTTGACATTTGTGGTGAATGTTCTGTCTGCTGCCTGGCTCGAATAGTGTGTTCGTGCGGGCGCTGCTTATGCAGTGCCACAAGTGCCGGCAGGCACCACCTGCCGAAGGAGACACTTGGTGTCTCAGCTGCGCTGGCTGGGAGGCTCTCGGAAGGGAGCTTTGCAGCCCCTGGCCGGCGGAGGGAGCTCGAAAGCTCGCTGCTGACCTAGTGGTGTCGTGCACCCGCCAGGTCAGGGGTCTGAGGAACTACGCCCAGGCCGTGCGCAGCAATCAGCAGGCCGCTTCCTGCCGACGTGAGGCGGAAGATCCTCCTCGCGAGAACGAGCGACCGAGCCTGAAGAGGCGCAAACCTGAGCACAGGTGGACAACGAGCTGGGAGCTGCAGCGAAGCGTCTGCCTGACGCTGCCAAAAAGGAGTTTTCGAGTTCAGGTGAGTTTGAAGAGGAGTCTGAGGAGGAGGCCCCAGACAATACACCTGCCCCTTTGGCTGGCCGCGACACTCGTCGACCGCCGGAGCCGGACGGGCCCCCGCCTTCGCACCGGAAGGAGGGAGACAATCGTCGTGAACGACATCGAGGCCATCAAGGACACAAGGGACATCGAGGAGGACAGCATTCAGCGAACAAGGGGTCAAAGCCGCGACACCGTGCCGGGCGAAAGCACCAACGGCTGGGCAGGCTAGAGTTCGATCCCACCGCAAAGGTACACAGAAAGCTTTCGAATCACTTCCTGGACACGCTCTCCACGGACGGAGGCAAGGAGTGCTTGGACAGGTTGCCATGAGCCGAAGGCCGCATTCAGAAGGCGAAGAATTCAATTTACATAATCTTGAGCAATGGTGTATGATCTCTCCTCTACGAGGGGATGTGCTTTTTGTAGATCTTCAGTCAACAGACTTTCATGTCGAGGCCGAAACCTGGGCCCCGTTCTTGGTGTTGGAGGTTGCGCTCCTCAAGGCATTGGGGACATTGTCCATCGAGGTGAAGTTCCTCGGGGGTTGTTCATCCGAGATCAACAAGGAGATGTCGGCCCGGTTCAACAGAAGGACAGGACGCATTCATCTCTGCGGGACTACTCCGTGCCTAGAGGAAGAGGCTGGAAGTCTCCATGTTACACGGTTTGTTTGGCATACTCTCCATGGGGCAGAAGGCTGGCTGACAACAAGAGCCGTGCGCACTGCCACCAATTGGCTACAGGGGGCAAACGACACAGACGAGGGTGCAGGCCTGGACGAATCAGGCCAAGTGGTCGAGGTCCTGGACGAAGAAGGTCAGAAGGATTCGGGGAAGGAGCGCGCCGGTGTTCGCCGAAGCGCACTCCGCCAGCCCCGGAAGTCTCACAAGAGCACTACAGAGGAGACAGAGGCCAAGTCCAAGGAGGTCAAAGAGGGCGAGAAGACCCTGCAGCCCTTCAAGAAGAGTGCCGCTCGCCCTTCAGCCCCAAAGTCAGGTTCTGCCCCGTCAGCTTCCAAACCCACCGGCAAGGGCGTTGGAAGTGGACCTGGAACCAAGGCAGCATTGGATCCAGCAAAGGTACAGAGGTTGAGAGAGGAGCTCAAAAAGTCGAGGCAGAAGCTTGCAGCTGGCGGCGGTCCAGACCCCTCCCCAGACGGGGAAGGAGATGGGTCAGGGGAGAGCTCAGGCACAGCGTCAACTGGCTCCACCAACTCAGAAGACTCGTCCTCTGCAGCAGAACGGAAGGGTCTGACAGCGGGGACTCTGATGGGAGCCAAGACCAGTCGGACCACCACCAAGGCTATAAAAGATGGTACTACGGGGGACTATCACGAACAGCTGATACAGCGCGCGGCCGGCACCGCCGAGCTGTCTCGCAAAGAGGGAGTTCTTCAAGACCGCAAGAGGAGATCGAGGAGCTCTTCCAAGCGCAAGGCCGACAAGAAGGACAAGGATCGCAAAGAGGACAAAGAAAAGAAGAGGAAGAAGGATCGAAAGTCAGACAAAAAGAAAAAGAAAAAGTCGAAGAAAGAGAAGAAGAAGAAGAAGAAACGTCGGAAGGTGACCCTCTCCGATGGACGGACTATCAGCTGCTCGTCGGACTCCAGGAGCGACTCGGAGGGATCTCCTTCGACAGACGAAGGGGCGGAGTTGGAAGCTCCTTAAGAAGAGGTCACAGAAACACCCGGGTTCGGTCCTGAACTTGTTGCTGGAGCACATTGCAGACCAACTTCAACAATCCGCGGAGGTGGACACCCCAGCAGCTGCGAAGGGGGACTTGACCTCGGGGGTGAAGGTAGTTTCATATTTAGCCCTGAGCATTCGTGCGCAGTTTGGACACCGCCCCAAGGAGCTACGGGAGATGCACAATCTGGCCACGAGCATCGACTTGTTGAGGCAGGGCCAGTTGGCCCGGCTCGGAGACGTGCTGGCCGGAAGGCTCATCGCCATACACCAGTCGCTTTTAGACGCTTCCTGGTCTTCGGCAAGACACCTCGAGGTCATGCCCATGCCCGAGGGCACTGCTCTCAGCGATGGAGTACTATTGGCCGCCCGGAAGCACGGACGACAGGTCAGCCGCGCTCAGGATCCGACCCTGGGCTGGCGCCCTTCAAAAGGAAAGAACAAGGGAAAGAAGAGTCAGGACTGGCACCATTACGAAAACGACGGAGAAACTTCGTGGTGGCAGCCAAAAGGAAAAGGAAAAGGACAGAGGAAAGGAAAGTCGAAGAAAGACAAGGAGAAGGACACAGGAGACAAGGCAGTGGAGAAGTAGAGAGAGAGGATGGATTCCAAGGGCTGGTCACGACCGTGCCCACAGAGGCTGAAGATCAGACACCATGCTTGCATGCAGGCCTTGAAGTTTTCAGCCGGGTGCTACAGTGCACGGCAACTTTAGGAGAACTTGGTTGCGCACTTGGTTGGATGCTGGCAAGGATCACGTACAGAGGTGAGTTTGAATTTGACAAGATGGTCATACGTACAGTCTTTGAGTGCTGCACGAGGCCACCGGTCGCTTCGATTGCTGGGGCGATCTTCCCTTTGCCCCTCGGGGCTCTTGATGCTTGTGAGGGCGCTTTGCGTGCCGCCTCATTGGAACATGTTGTGACGCCCGGTTTCGTTGAGCGCTGGCAGAATGACGCCTGGCGCCTATGCGCAACTGTGGGACTCAACTCCATCCGAGGCCGGCTCCAGCCGCTGGTGATGAGTGTGTCGAACAAGATGCAATCTCATGCCGCGGCCGCCACCGTAGCGTCAGTGCAGCGCTTTCTCCGCTTTGGAGGGCGGTGTGAGGGATGTCCGGATGCAATCCGAAGTGAGCTAAAAGGCATTCGGCTGTCATACACTGGGGAGGAGATGGGCACCTGTCATGTGCTGACTCATTGTTCTCCCGGCGAACTCCTTCCTCTTTGCCGAGAATTAGTAGAACGGCGGATTTGTGATTGGATCCCCCTTGACTCGGTTTACTATTTCAGGGAGCAACCGGTCCTGTCCGGTCTTTTTGGGGTTGAGAAACCAACCAAACTGAACGACGGGAGGTCAGTCTTGCGCCTAATTATGAACCTGGTGCCAATCAACAGTGTCATGGAGCCGATCGCTGGTTGTGTGCGCCACCTACCTTCGATCACGTCTTGGTTGGGAATCACTACAGAGGCAGATGATCACATAGGTTTATTCCAGAGCGACCTTTCATCAGCTTTCTATTTATTTAGGCTACCACCACAGTGGACAAGGTTCTTGGCGTTCAATGTTAAGGTCTCAGGACTGGACTTGGGATTTGATGACAGTAGGACCTATGTCATGGCCTGCAGGGTCATCCCGATGGGTTGGGTCAGCTCAGTGGCCCTCATGCAGGAAGTCGCTGAACGGGTCGCGTATTTAGGTGGGGCTGATCCAGAATCTCAGATCTCGCGGGGTTCCGCGCTCCCATTGTTCTTGACGGAGTGCGTCCACGAAGGGCAATCTCGAGATAGACCTTGGTGGCACGTCTACCTTGACAACTTTTGTGCCGGTCAACGGGTTTCGGGCTCGACATCGTTTGAGAAGGGGTGCGTACTCCATCAGCTTGTCGAGGATGTGTGGAGCCGCTCTGGCCTGGTATCCTCGGAGAAGAAGAGGGTATCAGGTGCTTCAACCGTACAAGAGTTGGGAGCGTGGATTGACGGGGACTCGCACTCGATCTCGGTCTCAGGTGTCAGGTTCATTCGGTTAGTTCATGCCACTTTGTTTCTTCTTCAGGGGAGGTTCCTCAATAAGAAGGCAGTTCAGGTGGTTGTTGGACGCTGGGTTCATGCCCTGCAGTTCAGGAGGCCGGCTATGATCGTGCTCTCACGGGTGTGGGAGTTCATCTCGACGGCACACCCGAAGCCGACACTTATTCTGGGAACGAGACAAGAGCTCTGGAAATTGATCTTGTTAGCCCCCTTGATGCACACTTTCTTGGGAGCTTCGATCGATGACTGCACCACCGCATCCGATGCCTCCCTTAAGGGGGGAGCCGTTGGGATAGGTCCGGAGTTGAGCCTTGAAGGAAAGGACTTTGTGCTTAGCTCCCAAGTACGTAGTGGAGATGTTGGCACTGTACCCATTCTGGTTATTTCTTTGTTCAATGGAATTGGTGGTTGTTTCCGGGTCTATGACGTTTTAGATGTCCGCCCTATGGGGCTGATAGCCGTGGAACTTCACAAACCTGCCAACAGAATAGTTGAGCGAAGATGGCCGCACGCCAAGACCGTGCCGGATGTTCGGCTGGTCGATGGGGCAATGGTCAAGCAGTGGCACCTTGAGTATCCCATGGCTGAAGAGATCCATCTCTGGGCCGGGTTTCCCTGCGTCGACCTGTCCAGGGTACGCGCGAACAGACAAGGGTTGAAGGGTCCTGCGTCCTCATTGGTCTTTGAAATCCCCCGGATCGAGGAACTTTTGAAAAAGGAGTTTGGTTCAGGGGTCTTGTTCAAGAAGGTCATAGAGAACGTATCCTCTATGGACAGGGCGGCCGCGGTCGAGATCTCTAACCTGTTTGGTTTGTCTCCGTACGAATTAGATAGTGTGGACTCTGTGCCTATGAGGCGCCCAAGATTCGCTTGGTGCTCTGAGCGATTGGAGGAAGCCTTCACCGACCTAGAGGTGACCGAACATAGCTATTGGAAACGGGTATACGCAAGAGCGACCTATCCAAGTCCCGGTCAGTGGGTGGAACCTTCTTGGGAGTGGATGGGGGAGCAGCACGAAACTCCTCTGCCCACATGTATGAAGGCGATCAAAAGAGATCATCCACCCCCTCAGCCGGCGGGAATACGGCGCTGCACGGAAGCCACTATCTCCCGATGGACTTCAGACGCTTATAGGTTTCCTCCTTATCAATACTCCCCTGAGTTTTTGTTTTGGAAAGGTGATCAGTGGCGCCTGGCCACGGCAGAAGAGCGTGAATTGCTGCTCGGCTACGGCTTTGGGCACACGAAGCTTTGCATGGCAGCCTCGAAGCAGAAGGAGGCGGGGGAGCAAGCCGTGGAAGACGTTAGGCGGTCTCTCCTTGGCGACAGCTTTTCCGTTTACTCCTTTTGCATTCCAGGGGCAGCTCTTTGCCAACGCTTCTTACCCCGAATGTCTTATGAATGGATTGCACTCCGCATGGGGATGGCACCGGGCTTCAGAGCACCCCTCCGAAGTCAGGCACCTTTGGGAAGGTTCTTGCAATATGGGTTTAGGACACAAGCACAAGCCAAATCTTATTCTCCGCGGGACTTGAACCGCATCCTGTTGACCAAGGTGAACCACACCGGATCAGATGTGAGGATCGCTTCAGGGGATATTCTAAACCCAAAGGCCTTTCCCCGTCAAGGGGTGGAGGCTTCTTGGTGGGTGTGGCGTCCAGTATTTAGTGTTCGCTGGAAGCACAAAGAACACATCAACCCATTAGAACTTCGTGCCATCCTTCTTTCTATGGTACACCATATTCGTCGCCGTTCCGCTATAAATGCTCGAGTGTTCCATGTCACGGACTCGTACGTCTCCATGAGTGTGATTGGAAAGGGTAGATCAGGGTCTCGGAAGCTTCAACACGTGTTGCAGCAGCTCAATGCTCATTTGTTGGCCTTTAACATATATCTAATCATCGGTCACATTGAGTCAACAGAGAACCCCACCGATCATGCCTCCCGGGCGTAAATGGGTCCTGGGCCGCCGGACTACGGCCGAGCGGGCCCGAGAAAGGCGAGGAATTGTACTTCGAGATTCACTGGTACAGCCGAAGACACTCAAACAATACTATAAACACGCTAAAAAGCTACTCTCCATAGTGCGTCAAGCCAACGATGAAATAGAGCTCGATGAACTTCTTGCCGACCATTTGGAAGAAATGTGGGAAGCTGGACGTCCTTTGTACCACGCTTCGGCGGGACTTTGTGGTCTCCAGTATTTCATGCCATGGTGCAAGGGAAAACTTGTGCAAACTTGGAAACTGTTTCGCATTTGGCGTCGTCTAGAGGTTCCATGCAGAGCTCCACCTCTACCTCGTGAGATAGCTTACGCATTCGCTGGAAAAGCGATTGCTCGGGGGGACCTCGTGTTCGCAGGCCTCATTTTAGCTGCTTTCGACGGACTTCTTCGTACGGGCGAACTCTTGGAACTCTGCGGAGCAGACATCTTGATCCGTAACGGCATTGGACTGATTCGCTTGGCAGAAACCAAAACGTCTGCAGCTAAGGGCATCGCTGAAGTAGTGACCATTAAGAACGAGTGGACACTCATGGTCTTAGACACCTTAGTGGACTACTTGAAAGAGCAACAGCTTTTGCAGGTTCCCATTTGGCGCGGTTCCAAATCCGCTTTTCGGCAGCGCTTTAAGCACTACTGCCGGTCTTTCAAAGTGCATCAAATGGCTTTTCGTCCATATAGCCTCAGGAGAGGCGGCGCTACGGCGCTTTTTCAGGACACATTGTCGTATGACGCAGCATTAGATCAGGGCAGATGGAGCAGTATTAGAGCTGCTAAATTGTATATTCAGGACGGTTTATCACGTCTTCCCACATTGACACTGTCTGACGAGGCACAGGCTCTAGTCCAGCGTTGGAACCCCTTGTGAAGGTTTGTTTTTCTTTCATCACCCTGCTAAGCAGGGTAAGTTCGGGATCGTGGAAAGGCAGAGTGTTCAGAGTGTTTCAAAGTCTTCGAAAGAAATCG